ATTTGATACAGTTTTGCCCTTCAAAAATGATAAACCGTGTGCCTTGTAAATTGCATAACTCAGTTTCTTTTGTGTCAAATGTCCCAAATAAATGCAGAGTTCTCAAATATAGCAGATTCCCACCACATCAGTTCTTCCCTCTACCGCAGTGAAATGTCTCCAGAATGAGTTTGAACGTAGCGGCCGAGAGCATTCCAGACCTTTGTTTTGACTCAGCAGGGCTGACAGGAAGCAAACAGCACTGTGTAGTCGAGGCCAATCATAGCTAAGTCCCTGAACTAGGCCAGTCCAATAACACTCACAGGAAAGCTTGTCACAGCTGCCATTATTCTCTGTCCCTGACCACTGTACTATACACGCTCATCAATGTAATCCTCACACACGCGCACACATGCAAGCGTGCATGGAGAAGAAAATCAAAACGGAAGATAGAGCAGGATTACCACCAGGACATTCGTTTCAGCAGGAAATGACATGAATCCTGCGCAATGTCAACTAAACTCTGCGTTATCTGTGCTGGATTGAGTTGCATAATATGATGGGAAAATTAGGGGCATGCATTATAATCCAACTATAATCTGTGTTGAAGCAGTAGTCGGATTTTGATTGGTGCTTAATATCCATTTAAATCCCAAACTGTAGATATCATACACCTATTGCAGCTACCACTTTTCTACATTGAGTGGGTCTTTTTTGGACCTGAGCCATAAAAAATGTGTCTTATTATACTGCTGTCAGTGTACAGACATGTAAAAGTTAAACCATAACTTCTTGCTTATGAACATTTTGTGGTGTAAATAATTGATAAGTCAAAGATAGAACTGTCTTACTCTTCTTATGAGTAAATGTGTTACAGAAGTAGTAAAAGGAAATCCACATATTTACTATTTTCTAATACATAAAAGAGGAAGATGTCTCATCTTCTTCATCTTTCTCCATCTCCCACCAGATCAGCCTGGCAAGTCAGAGACGTATCTGGAGGCCATCAGGAAGAACATCGAGTGGTTGAAGAAACACAACAAAGAAGAGGGCAAAGATGGTGAGACACACACTCCAAACTTTGCTGAGTTTTAAAGAGCCAGACCCAGAAAACATCCTGATTTGCAAACCCTCGTCCCCTCACTAAACTGGTGCTGGCTCACAGACACGTCACAGACACGCACTCAAGTACAGACAATTTGAAGTATCTTTTGTTTGCCTCAATTTGCAAGTAAAATGAGATCCAGGAATGATGCTTCACTCCAGATCCTATGAATATGGATAATTGTTGATGAGTCCGTCCTAATTACTCGCGATGCCGCTTTCTTGTTCGGAGACAAATATCTATTAATTTTATTCCCTTTTTTCCTGTTCCTCAATATTTGTGTGTGCAGTTGAGCATGTGTGTGAAAGGAGATGTAGTCGTGGATTTTGAACCTGGTTCATGATTAGCACTAGCATCACAACAACTCAAAGAAAAAGCCACAAAGAGACCACCAACGCTTTGTCATCAATGCCCATGTCTATGGATTTATAGAGTTGGTGAGTGTGCCTCCCCCCATCCTGTAACTGTCAGCATTCATAACGACGCAGCATGTGACCCAGAAAATGCACCAGTCTGCAGAGCTGTGAAAACTGTGCACTCGTCTGCTGTTTGGCTCTCCACGCTGTAAAACTGATGCCCAGTAGTGCTTAATTAAGCAGCAGAGAATGAAATGTTAATGAGTTCTCATTATTCATTCGTCCACTGTTGATCATATCAGGACATCTCGGACGAAAAAAACCCTAAAAACTCTAGCTCAGTGAGATTTAAATGCACTGCTGACGTTCAGTGGCCTGCTCTAATCTGAGCCGATCGATAAGTGATTCAGTCACTGGTGAGTCAGAGAAGCAATCGAAAGACAGAGAGGCAAACAAAGTTTGACCTAAATTCTTGTGTGCATCTTGAACCCCCCGAAGATGGAGCTGCAGAGGCCCGAGCAGCAGGGAAGTTTTGTTCAGTGCTCGTCTCCAACCAGGCTCTATATAGGACACTTCATTAGCATTCTGGTGCGCGGTGAGTGGTTGTCTGGGACAACAGGGGCGTCCCCGCCTGCCCCTCAGTGATCCGGGCAGAGGAGATGAACAGATAGCAGACACAAGCTCACACTGAACACACACACACACACACACACACACACTGAGTCAAAATGTGGCCCCCCATGATCACCTCATTTTTCCGTAGTGGCACTCAGCAGCTCAAATGATACACTACGCTGTACCACATTAAACCTCATCCTTATTCTCTCATTATTTCTCTCTCTCTCTCTCTCTCTCTCTCTCTACGGAGAAAGTACAGCTGGAGGACAACAAAAGCCTTTTCAACCAAAAAGCAGTGTCATAGTAACAGAGTGGGCGACGGGCAATTTATTGTGTTTACTCTATACCAGAAGCACGCATTAGGACAATCTCAGCAGACTCTCTCTCTGTGTCTGTGTCAATACATGTGTGTGTTTGTGTGTGTGTGTGTGTGTGTGTGTGTGTTTATGCCCACACACCACACAGATTAGCCAGAGGAGCAGACGGACACAGAGTCGACATCCTGGCTTTGGCTCTCGGCTCCTCGCAGCAAAGATTGAGAGAAGCGGCGCTCTGCGTCTCTAATCACATTCATTTAATCCCTCGCACACGTCATGTTGGTCGTCCGCAGGGCAACTGTGTCTCGAGGCAACGCAATACATTGCTGCTGTTAGGAATGTCATTAGGAAGATGTTGTGTGACTCTTCGGCTGTCCGTCCTCCGTCCTTATGTCCCCCCCCCAGTTAGAGCAGGGAGAAGTGGTGCAGCAGCTGTTTGCCTGCTTTCTGAGACTCATTTGTGACCATGATGGATGATACGGAGGTAGATTGTGTTCATCTCTAAATATAGCCACAGCCTGCGGCGGCCTTATGGTGCTATGACAAGGACTTGTCTAGAGCAAGGTGTTTACAAATGGTGTATCAAAAAAAAGCTTGACCTATTTCTTTAGTATTTGAGTGAGTTTGTTGGAAACTGATCACATTAAATTTGAATCGCATTCATTTCACTGTTGGAAGTACAACTTGGCAATTACGTTCCACAGCGTGATCTTTCGACCTACTTCTAATGTATGTGGCATCTTCTCGACCCCAGACAAATATTCTGACTCTGACCTTAATCCCCCTTGATAATGAACTACCGTACCAGATTAGGGCTTGTTTGGGTGCCCCGTCTTAAGAAGTTTAATGTCTGATCTATCCTGCCAACTATCGTGGCCTCATGATCTTCCTATTTGAATCTCAGAATATAAACCCATCCTTTGTTTCTGCCTCTCTGTCCAGATTACGACCTGTCCAAGCTGAAGGACTTCATGGACCAGCAGGTTGACGCCTACATTCAGAAGGGCATCATTGCCAAGGATGAGGGTGACACCATCAAGAGGATCTACAGCAGCCTGTAACGCCGACACCCATCACCCATCCTCCAACCGACCCTCAACACGGGACTGAATCTGACATTAACATCTCAAACAAAACCCTGACTACTTAGTTATTTCCCATGGCATGGTAAAGTATGTACTGTGTATTCAAAACTACCTGCTTAGGGGAACTTGTTAACCCTCCAAGACATTCCCAAAATGTATCAAGAGAATGGATTTAACAAAACTATCAAAACAGTAAACCGATTCTTCACAGCTACATACGATTATATTTGCACGCCAAGATCGCAGAGTAATAATCCCTAGAATATTATTGTGAGAGAAATCAAAGTACTTTATGTAACCACCTCACATGTCCAACTAAACGCTAGCATTTACTCCAACCTGACTCCTGTGGGAAATGAATGTTATGAGAGTATGATGCCACAGCTACATCTACCGTTTCCAATATAATTTTTGCAACAAAATGCACATATATCAAAGTGTACTCATTCAGTGTAACCTGTCTTAGCCTATTATATTTACTTTTTCCAGTGTATATGTAATCTACGTAATCTTGCTTTTTATTTTACCCTAAAAAATATTTGTTCTTTGTGCATCATGTCAGTGATCTACTTACTCCCATTTGGTTCTGCTGTAATTCTCCTGGGAGCCCACTAGGGGGGACCCCGTTTGTACCATCAATGCTCTCTGCATGTCTCTATGAGTTCAACATTTCCATCTCTGTAGAGCCTCAAGAGAAGTATTTTTAAATGTAAATATTTGTGATTTTTTTCCTAAAGTTTAAAAGCAATTAAAACTTTGCCTTTTCTTTACCTGTGTATTTAAATGTGACAGCAAAGCAGCACATGGGGGGAAAAAAAAACCCACCAATAAGTGACATCCACATGCTCTCATGAACCTGCATTATCATGAAAACACACGAGAGCTTCACGTTTGGTTTGATTACACATTTATTCTCTCCAAATAAAACCAATACATTTTAAAAGTACAATAAAACAGCTGTAACAGACAGTTCTCCACACACATAAATAATGCATTCACACTTCAAAAAAACAAAAAAAAAAAAAAAAAAAAAAAAAGCACCCCCCCCCCCCCCCCCCCCCCCCCCCCCAAAGAGGCAAAGCGGAACGTGTTCGAAGGCTCGAGTCTATCCGCCGCTTCTGTTTGGGGAGAGCTCGTATAGGGTAAACATTGATGAGGAAGGCCTGAATATACTTTCCAGTGATACTATTATAGGAGCGGATTTAGCAAATCAGAAGCGGTTCGCAACTTTAACAAGCTAATCCCTCTGGAATTGCTTAGCTGTGTGTGTGTGTGTGTGTGTGTTTGAACATATGCAGCAGGTGGGTTCTGTACAGTAGCGTCAGAAGCATATGATGAGTGGATGGGCACTTGTGCTCGGACGATATTTATATCAGATGCTCCTCCGAGCTGTAAAACTGTACTAAACAAGAAACCTACATCGCAATACTTGCATATCAATAAATAAAAAGGCAAACATGTCACTTCTGTTTAACGTGGTTTGGTAAAAGCAGAACGGTAAAGAGAAAAGTGAGAAAAGTTAAAAAAAATAAATAAATGAAAAAAAAAAAAAGAAAAAGAAAAAGAAAAGCGATGTGGTTGCAGTACTGTTTGTATGTTGGAGCGTGTGTGTCTGCAGAAAACGGACGGGTCCTTTATCCTTTATATCTCCTGATATGACGACGTGGGGGCCGTGTAGTCCTCCTGATCGTTTCTGCGAATGAGAAAAAGAAAAGATAGATAACCTTTAACTTTCTGGGGAGTTTACCCACAGTGGAAACTCATTTTAATGCAATCGCACACACATACTTTTTTTTAACTCCTCTCCCCTCTTTCTCCCTCTGCTGAACAGTGACAAGGTGAAAGTGAATAATGGATGAGGCTAACCAAACAGCCGCGTTGCTCTCCGTCAGGGCTCATCTGGCCTCTCGGTACAACGCACCAATGTCTTGAGCTCAATCTTGAAGTTGCTCCTAACTGGTTACTCTCTTTTGAGATGTTTGCCTCAACACGTTCCTTAATTGGGAGGAAATATTGTTGTTTCCTGTAGTGCTACTGTACATTTTCAAACTATGCACAAGGTTGAGAGAGACAGTCCGGAGTACAGTTAATTAGAGTGATCAGAATCAATAGAGGAGATAGAGCAGTAAAAGTAGGAGGCTAAAATAATGTTCCTATAGATTTTCTTCGTGACAACATGGAAACATCCTGAGGGATGACGGGATCAGTCTTTTAAACAGAGTTGCACTTTATGTGGAAAAACATGCGATAATGTTGAATATCGCGATAACGGCATTACTTGAGATAAATAAAGCGAAGTGTACTTGGTTCTGCCTTTTTGCTGCTTTCATTATACTGCTGAAGTGCAGCAAATTGCTTGTTGAATTAAAAAATAAAAAGGTGATTATTTAATTTATTACATTTATTACATTGAACTGATCACAAAAGGCACCAATAAGATAGTTATATTTATAAGTGCCGTTTCTACAGATACCCTCCCTGTGCATCTGGATGTTCACAATAAACCTTTGATTGAAGAAGAAGAACTCTTTATCGAGTTCTCGGTCTATCCTCTATTATATTAAGGCTTTGTGGGGATAAGTATATACACATTGAACGACACTTGTTCTACTTTACTATAAACCTGTTCTGACTCATATCATGTTTCCTTCATCTGATCTGGCACAACCACATGTTTAGGAGTTAAGAGTCTTTGTTTCTTTTCTCACCCTATTTCCATATCATCCTCTCTCTTTATGAGCCTTTAGAACAATTCCATAACTCAAGGTTTTTTTAAATTAAATATACAAACAAAGATGTTAAACGATAAATATACATGACAGGAAGTGACAGGAAAGACGTCTTTGGGCTTAGAAGCAAGTTGCAGGACTGCACAGTGTTGACTGAGTTTGTTGCATAGTGTGGCCACAGTTTGGAGATAAAAACTAAATCTTCATAATGTAAATCCATATATGAAGATATAGGGTCCTCCAGAAGGAAATGTATCAAGCAGTCGCTTTGTCGTCTGTTCCATCAGAGGGAGGAAGCCAAACGGACATGCGGTCTGCGTTTACTCTGGAAACAAGGCAGCAAGCCCGTGTTTGTCTACACACACAGCAGCTCCACAGCAGAGGATGTGGCTGGAGACGAGGCCTCACACAAAGCTGGGCTTTGGTAGGTAAACACTTAACAGAGACATTAAAAGACTTCGTTCTGCGCATTTACTCTGGCTCGTGCCTTTGTAAAAACAAAATACAGTTCTAGGGTTACTGGCACGTCATTAATAGAAAATGTTGCGCAGTCGGTGGTCATAGATTACTGAAATACGACAATATTATCTTACCTGACGAATAGTATGTACAGAGCTGACTAACATGGACCAAGTAATGACTGTTTATCACATGATGTTAATAAAGACTGTCCTTTAATTCAGTCAGAACCTTTTTACTTATAAAAAGAGACTATAAAATATATTCCTTTGAAGATTTATTCTGGCTCTTTCACACGAAAAAAAAAGAGAAGAAGTTACTACTCCATTCTAGATCATAATATAACACCAAATCAAAATCAACTCGACAGGATGTAGGAAAACATTCAAATCCTACATGCTATCGTTCTGCGAGCAGATTACATTGATATCATTTGGTATGAAATGTTTGATAGATGAATGCGATAAGACCTTCGTTCTTCTTTCAGGAGAAATTAGAGATCTATTACAGTTCTGGTACACGGTGTCAGACTGGTGCTGATGATAGAAATCAGAGACAAAAGACAGTTGAGACCAGAGCAGCTGCCAAAAACAGGAAGGGAATTTACATAACGGCTGCTACAGGATCCACTGTAGTACGAGCGAAACACTTTTAGAGAACCTGATGTGGAAAATGAATATTTATTCTCTATGTCTGTAGAGGAACCTGCCGTGGTGTGACTCAGTCCTGACTAAACTGATCGTGCCAACAACGCCTGTCTGTCTATGAATGAATGAATGGGGGTCTGCCAGGCATCCACTACTACCTCAGCACTGAGCAGACGTACAGGCTGTTCTCTGTCTTGACCTGAAGTGTCAGGGAGACGAGCTCCGGCCTGATTCAGCAAGCCACATCTCCTTCTAACTATTTGAATTGTAGCAGAACGCAGCACCCGACTAGTGCAGCAGGTCGGCAAAAAAATTCCTATCTTTGATCCTTCTTCCGTGACAGCGTTTGCACTTTATGGTCTCTGTTCTTGCTGTTCGGGATTCCTGACAAGCACTTCAACGCATTAAGGTTGATCTTTAGTCCCATGTCTATAGCCGATGCTTTTGGGGGGGGGAAAAGGGGCTGTGAACAGCAATACAGTGACAAAAAAAAACAAACAGCGCTTTTACCAGGACAAATGCCTGCAGATAATGGACTTTATCAAACTTACAAATGTGTCCTGTGCCATGTGCCACAGACAGGTCTCCATCATATGTTCACTAGGCAACAGTCAGCTCTCACACCCACAATAAATACCAGCTGACTGATGCTACTTTTCTAATTTAGCCAAATTCAGAAAGACAATAACTAGCAATGAGCATTCCCAGCCCGGTCTGAAAGTGTGCACTCGTCAACAACACAGAGGAAATAAGCAGCGGTTTGGTTGGGGGGGGGGGGGGGTTCAACAACTCACCTTACTTCCTCTTCTTTCAGCCTGCGTGCCGCCTGCTTGGATTGTTTGATTTGCAAGTCCAGTCTGTGTAAGAAGTCTTTGGCTGACAGCTCCTCTGGCTGGGGGGGTTTGGAGTCCTCGGGGGGCGGTGAGGGCCCTTCGAACTCACGCAACATAACACAGGGTGGATCTGCTGCTTCACCGTCCCCGTCGGGAGAGTCCAGAGACAGTCCGTTAAATATGTAGCGCTTCTCCGACACCACGGGGATGTTGAGGCTGTTCTTCAGAAAAATGCAGTCGTTGCTGAACAGCTTGTTGGCTCTCTTGATTTGCTCCATCTGGCATGTGAGGGTGACAGCAAACAGACGGTGTTAGAACAGCATCATTTCTGTGACTCAGCTGTCTCCTTCCTTTGCACTTAAGTTTAGACCTGAGGACCGAGTCAGCTTAAAACACCTTATATTATCTTGTCTTATATATTGTGTCACTGATATGAATATATGGAGTTGGTTTTAATTCATCCACATGACATTTAATCTTTTTGATTCCCATCAAGTGAACAAAAACATACTTCTTTTTTTTTTTACACGCATTTTAACTCGGGAGATGTGATCTAAATGGCAATAAAAACATCTTTGGATACACATTAAAACTAAATACATTGGGAATAGGGTCAAACATCTCATTAGACAACCAATTAACACGCAGTGAACCTTGGGCTTTTGGGACCTTGGGAGCCCCCGGGGGCTGGAGGCACTTTGCCAGGTTGGTAGTGCCGCCTTGGCTGGAGAAGTATACATGCAAACTTGAGAAAGCTTTCACTCCCCATCCACTGTAAATGAAAACAGTCTGCCCCCCCATTGTTAAAATGTATAAACCCATGTGGCATTAATCATGTGTGACCCCCTTTCACCTCACTGGTGTTGGCTGGTGTTGTGAGAATCAAAGTAAAATGAAGAAGTGAGCCCTGTTCACACAAAGCGAAGTGAAACACAAGAAATAGCCTGAATGTGTTGGACTGATGCTACAGCAACATCTCGAAAGAGCTAATATACAACTAGGCTTTAATGTGAGATATATATATATATATATATATATATATATATATAAAAGTTTATTTATGCTCCAATAACTAACGGTGAACGGAAATCATATCATAGTGTCCCGGCAGATTAAATAATCCAGAAGTAAACGTGATGATGGAGAGAATAGGCGTGCTGTTGTGTTTGGCTCCCCTGATCTGTCCGTGAGGACCGACCGTGTGCGTTAACACTGATTTCATGTTCCATCACATCTCCACAAACTAAACATGGAAGTGTTTGCGTGGCAACCTTACCGTGACACCGTATTTGAGAGCAATCCCTTGTAGGGTATCACTGTCTGTAACACGATGCTCTATGTACTTCTCCCCCAGGGAGGACGTGACGCTAGCTGTGCTTCCGTACGACCGGATCTTGGTCCGGGCCAGACCCTGGGACAGTTCGCTCTCGGACTCGGAACCGGACCTGGACCGAGGGAAGATGGGCTGGCCAAAACGTCCTCCTCCTCTATCCCGCATCGGCAGGACGGGCGAAAACTCCGCCATCTTCTCTTGAATAAACAAAGAGCCCCGGTTACCTCTGGGTGCTTCAACGCTCCAGTTGACCCGCTGCAGTCACGTTAATCGCTGATTCAGGCGGCTGGGAGATTCCCATCTCCGGTCATACTCTGCATGTCAACCAATCAATAAGACACATGTTTCGGGAACCGCTACCACCACCTCACGGGTAGCTTTTGTCATAGAGCCTTAAGTTGACGTAAAGACGTCCTGGACGTCCGGCAGGAACTACAATAATACAGTTTCCGGTTACACTTTCAAAATAATTCCTTATAACGAAGAATTTGATGATTACTAACAATTGATGAAAGGCTATAAATTAATTCGTAATACCATATAGACCAAGATGATTAAGAACATTTGTTGAAAGGTTATGGATAGATAGATAGATAGATAGATAGATAGATAGATAGATAGATAGATAGATAGATAGATAGATAGATAGATAGATGGTTATGCTGGTTATTCCCTTTATCAGATAGCTACTTGCTGTTAATAGCATGACCTTGTAAAACAGTAGTAAAAAGGTCCGTCAATATATGGCTACGTTTTAAGGTCTTTAGAGGCAAGACTGAGATGGTCACCTCTCTTTTCTTGTGTAACACGTAACTAAGTAGGACTTGAGAGATCCTTTCACATTGGGTGGAAACATACAGCAGGTCTCTGTGACCACGTACTACTGAATGTGACATCTGGAGCCAAAGCTGTTAAGTGCAGTGATCGCTTTGGATGGCCTCTGTGAGAGGAACGTGGTTTACAGTCTTATGACCAACCGTGCATATAAATAACATGTTTTAGACCTAGACCATACTGTAAAACCTTTTTTTTTTTATGTGAAAGGAATTTTCCCAAGCTGGCATATCAGTCTCATAAAGTCTGCCAAATGAAAAGCTGATTGTTTATACACTAAACATAATTTTCCCGTTTTTCTTGCTATGATATTGAAATCAGTCGCACAAGCAAAACATCCTTTATTTTTAGAATGGAAAGAAATAATTAAATTGAGGTGATGCAGTTACAGTAAAAACTCAAGCTAGAAATATTTGTTTGAATATTCTTACTCTCCATCTATGTGTATTAGTGTGTATTGAATGAGGGTTTTGATTACGTTTCTTGAAAGATGTCTTTTCAATGTACATACATTTGTAATCAGAGTCATTTAATCCATATTTCCTACTTCAAAATCATGTATTCACCCAATTGATATACTGGAATATAAACATAATGCATAGTGGCTTTATATTGTTTCCACTCTGCAATTCTACAATTGGCTGTACTGTTTTATGGCAAACTAATTTTGATTTTATTTGTGTGGTTACGCTGATAATGTCATTTTGAACGTAAATTAAATTTTCCAGTGTTTACATTGTACAACACTGATGTTAGCAAACATATATTAGCTTTTCTACAGTTTGACATGCAATAAAATCCCCATCATCTAATCTTTTTTTTTCCCACAATGATGCGATGAGATATTAACTTGCACCTGTTAATCATTGTAGAGTCCATAAATGAACAAGGGAAACCCCAGTTGAATAACCAAGTTACATGTCAGCCAATATGTGAACACGGACAGTATACTCCAATCATGTATTCATTACTGGATGGTAACTGGTGGAGATTTTCATTGCTCCGTTCCTGTCGTCTGTGACTCTCACAGTTCATGTTTATTCAGATCCCCCAATGGCGCTCAATTCCCCAAAGTTGTTTTCTCCTCTTTGAATCACTGTTAGAAAGTTAAAGCCATGGGAGTACTTACAAAGGGCTGGAAACGGAAAGCACTGATGATGCAAATATTATAACCATACTAAGTCATTTTAACGTTCATGAAAGGTAGTAAGTAATATGTAATTTAATGAAGGCACAAAGACTGCAGGTGCGACTTTGGGAGGCACAGGATGTCACTCGCTGACTCACAAATACTGGGAAGCAGCAAGTGGATTCATGATCTCTGAATGATTAATTTATTTAATTAGTCCGTCCTGGTTATAGATGATCTCGCTGTCTGGCATTTTCTAATGGAAATCAGGTCATTAAACTTATGTAAGAGTACAAAGAGAAACCTAGAGGAGGGAGCTTAATGCATTAATTATACATTGTGTTCTCAATGGGAGATGCCACTTTTTAAATTCAACTGCAAATCAGTTCATTATTCATGTTGTCTTTTCTGGATGAGGCGCAGTTTTTTGTGAAGATAAAAGCATCAAAAATCTAAAATGATCCAATGTTTCCCAGTAAAGTTCATTGTTTTTTAAAATCTATATCTACAGTGAGCTCATGGGATTTACTCTGGGGTTCAAACAACAACATGAGATTTTATTGTCAGACAGGAATCGGATTACTCCACTAGAATCACCCTACACTCTCTTTGCTCTTATCGGCAAAAACAAACAAATGAAAAAAAGGCAAGATGACAAGTATAGGAGCAACTTGAGTGTGAGTCATGTGTCGCAACGTTACCGTGAAGACAATCTCTCCAGCCGCCCCCTGATCCAACTGCACCCACAGGTTTTTGCAGCAAAGATATTGTAGCAATCAGTGCGATATCACTCTTGCCATCAGTTCATCCCCTTTGAGGAGGCAATAAGACAAATCTGATTAAGCCTGTAGGACTTCTTGGGTTTTATGGGGTTGTGAGGATTGAAGTTAATTTCAGTCTGTAAGTACTGGAAGGAAATAAACTAGGTTGAACAAGTAAGTCAGATGGGAGCATTTTTCTTCCATACAGGTGGTTTAAAAGTTCAAAGTTGTTAAAATATGAAGTGCTACCCTGCTGTCTACGGATTGCAATGCAATTCAATTTAATGTTGGGATGATGAGGTTGGATAGAGGTTATCCATCAGCACCCTGTCATAGAAAACATGATCAACATGAGATTCCTACAGGATCTCAGTCAATATCGACTACAATGATGTATCAGTCAGTTACGTTGTGACCCCTACTGGACTCACTCTGGTATTGCAGCTGTGTTCAGTCACTAACATTATCAACCACCAGATGGTGTCGTTTAATCACAAGTCACCCAGACAATTTTTTGAAACACAAAAAGGAAGTTGAACATGCATTATAACATGCAATATACATGTATAATATATGTGTTTCAAAAAGTGTTTGAAACACTATATATAGACATATTCGTAATTGTTTTCACATGGAGCCACACTACCCTCTGAAGGAGGTAGAAGAGGTTGACTATGTCTATCAGAAGATCATTTCTGACACTACAGAAGATAAACGATGCTGACTGCCAAGGGCTCCACCACCCTGCAGTAAACTCTGTCTTTACCTTTAGCTAATATGTATTGACGCACGCACAGATATCTACTGTACATTCATCTCTGGTGTAGCACTGGTTTAAAATGGCTGTTATGACGTCTTTCTCTCAGTACATTTTAACCCATTTAGCTGAGTAGGATGCTATTGAATTTCACATGTATGTGTATATGTATGTAGTCTGTCTTTCCAGGTCTCTGTGATATTTTGTAGTCGGCTTTGCGGAACCTGAAAGTTGATCACCAGACGTCACTTCAAACACTTACATTTTGCCTGAAATACCTCAACGTATTACACTTAAAGTAGCAATACTTATGTTTGTGCTTAATCACTTCATTTTTAATTAATATAGTTATATTTCTTATATATTCTTATCCTTTTTCATCCTGAAAGAGGGAGTATTGCTCTGTTGGGATATATATATGTGTGCGTGTGTGGAGTCTATAGATGGTGTCCTATGTTGTGCAGATGGCAATGGCCATTTTATTTGATTGTATTTTATTGTATTTTATTGTATTTTATTCTATTTTATTTTACTGTCTCTTATCTGATTGGTTCGTCGAGATAAAAGGGCGGGCTAATATACACCATTGGCTTATGTGTGGCAGACTCTCTGTCTATTGGTTCCATCACACGTCACTCACAGAATGCTCTGGCTCTCTCTTCCTGTGTTGCCGCCCTTGGGCAGAGTAAGTGAGAAATCAAGCTCTGACGGCATCGCGTTCATTGTGAAGACTCGCATTATTTGGGGACTTTTAGTTAGGTCCCATTAACAGGTAAGGATATATGTAGTTAGGGGGTTGAGAATTAGTATGTAAACTCAGGAAACTTTCTATCCGTAGTGTTTTACATGGTGGTTTAGCTAACGTTAAACGGCTAGCAACTTGAGTCCACTGCTAGCTGTTAGCTGCTAACTGTTAACCTACTTGTTATCGTTGTGTTGCTGCATCAGACAAATGTAACGCTGGCTAAGTTACCAAAGTGAGTAAGTGAGTGTCTCATGAAGCGCTTGGTCTGGCTTTAACTCTTCCTCAGCTAATGTGTGGTACCTTTTCTTCTAAGTCACGATCAACGTGTTTACTGTCAGCGTGATAATCATAAACATGTCAGGAGCGAGTTAGCGAACGAGAGATGGGTCATACTATTATAAGATATGTGCAGCTAAATCACCACCAAAGGAACATAACCGTATTGATCTACGGTGTAGAATATTATAGTGTGTGATATGTCATTGTATGGCAGTACTAAGTATCCTCTAATAATTCTGGTATCTGTTTGGTTCATAGTTGTTTTATTGTTGTGTATTTATTGTCACAAAATAGGGCGCATTTAATCTCAGCTGCCCCTCCCTGTGAGCCTGACAATGCATTTTACAGACGGGGCATCAATACCTTGATTGTCTGCTAAGAAAATAGCTTCAGTGTTGTTAGGACATACCTTTGGTGTGATGACTCACCCGAGTGTGTAGGGTTAGCTAGGGAAAGGCTGTGGCTTCAGCAGCACATCTACTTGTTTGATAGGTGTAAGATCGTTAAGTCTACTCCTTGTTCAATAGCTAACGTGAGGGTTTATATATATATATGTGTGTGTGTGTGTGTGTGTGTGTGTGTGTGTGTGTGTGTGTGTGTGGGGGGGTGTGTTCGCAAAGCTAGTTTTGCCCGCAGGGCTCAATGGTGAATAAAGGGTGTGGTCCAAGTCTGCTTAGGGAAGAGGGGTTTACCCTCAAAGCCTGAAGACAGGGGACCATCCTGAAGGTGTGCAGCAGGTAACTGAGTGGAATGTCATGGTGACTGCTGCTGACATGGCATTTTTGGTGATACCGCCTACCGTACCACCCTCTGCAGTGTGCCGTATTGCAGATAAACAGACTCCTTGGCTAGCATTCCTTGGACCTGCATACTTTTCACTGGGGAGTGAAACCTGGCCGTGAGTGCCTGGTTTCACCCTTGGTGTAATGCAGCCACAGCAGAGAATAGCAACTGTCATTAGTTGTTTTTTGTTTTAAAGGGGTGGAAATGGCAACCTTTCCTGAACCTGCGTCATGTTGAGGTGAAAAGGCATAACTTTTCACCTGAAAGGCATAACTTGAAATCAGTTTAATCAGTGTGTCTGAAAGGTGAAAACGGGGGGAGCATAGAAATCATGTGTGGTTGTTTGAGAAACACACCACTTCCTGTATGGCCCTTGCCAGGTCTGTATATCAGACCCTCTGTTGCTGTCTCTCTCTCTCTCTCTCTCTCTCTCTCTCTCTCTCTCTCTCTCTCTCGCTCTCTCTCTCCTTCCATCTGTTTTCTATCATTTCTGACACTTCCAAGCACCTTAGGAGGCGTAAGATAAAACGGATAAAGGAAAACTGAGTAACTACAGGGGGGAGAGACAGAATAAGACTGTAGAGAGTAGGTGGGAGGAAGTGCACACTCTTGTCCCATGAGTTGCAGAGCTGGGTCATTCTAACTATAGTCTTTCTATGTGTTGATGGGGCGAGGCTCTATAATAATGTAATAACCAGTCAGTGCTTCATGGTCATCTCCGAGCTGCAAGTTTTACTTTTCCTCCAGCTTCAGCCCCTTAGATCTAAAACAGTGACCTGGATATTGATTTCAACAGTTATACTTGACGGAGTGTGTTTTTGTTTTTTTTAAAGATGCTACCGGTTATATGATATAAGTTTGAGATATCTGAGATGACGTCTGATATTGTTTCGCACGCTGAACATTTCACTTCAAACATTTCACTTAAAAACATGTTGTTTTTTTGGGTGGTGGAGGTGAAAGAGATGGAAACGGATGTTTTACATTTCACTTTCCCCTTTTCTATTTCTTGATACCTAAAAGAACGTGGTCAGTATTTTGCCCATGAAAGAAACCAGGAGAAACAGATTGTTAGCCCTACTCACAGCGTCTTTTGGTCTTTCATGCACACATACAGTGGATATATATATATTATTATTTTTTTTCTGCAAAGGCTTGGTTTAACCTTTTTAATGTGACCATACATCTTTTGGTCTTGCTCAAATCTGCCAGGTATTCATCACTTGAACTTGACCACTAAACATCTAGCCTGTCAGGTGAACTTAAATCATGATATTTGTGGCTTTGTCCTTTGTGCAGTCCTCAGTAATATGTTTATGTTCAAAAGTAGCATGATTGCACTGGTCAGTGTGAGGAAGGTGCGTGTATTATTGGCTCCCAGCCACCTGTTGTTGTCTTGAAGGATTAGAAGAGAGGAGAGGGAGAAAGGAATCAATCAGATTGGACTAATGGATCCTCTGTGTCTCTACTCCCCATTGCCCTCATTATCCCTGTCCGCATGCTCCATTACTCTTCTGTCCACACGCCCCCAAAAAAAAGTACCGGACCTCACTGTAATCAGTGGCTGTTGTTTTAAATGTGTTGAATTACATGTCCGTGAAGTGGAAATAGTTTTTAAGAAGAAGAAGAGGGGTCATATGGTAAATTGTGTTATTCTAAGCTGATCTTGTCATAAGAGCATTATGTGTGTTTGTGTGTGTGTGTGTGCGTGTGTGACTTAACACTTATTTATCCTCGGCTTACGTCTCCGCTTTTTCCAGATCATCTTTTCATACGTTCTCCCTCCTCAGCAAATATTTGACTGGTGTGGAGGGAAATAAATGGCGTTGGACCTGGATGTGGCGGCTTTTTTGGCAGAATACATCAAAGTCTTCACTTTCACATAATCGCAGTAAAGCCTTTATGCGTTTTTCGTGCCCCAGGATGTCTCAGTGTTTATTATGAAAGATGACCAAAACTCCTCTTTCCAGAAACATCTGAGCAAAGGCTTATAATGACCAGACGTCCTGCGATTTTTTGTCTGGGCCAGATTTTAATATCCATTTATATTGTTTCACTAACACATTGGCTTAGCTTTGTTGCAGCTTGAATGGCTGATCACCTTCCTCCCAGTAAGGTGTGATAATAATACCCTGCAGGAGCTGTGCACTAGTCATTATTACTGTACTGACTCTGTTTTCCAGGTTCGGATTTAACTATGCCCAGCGGAGCGTTGGGGCGATTATTTTTGTTGCTCGTTACAGTCATACGCTTTTTATTAAAGACATCAGTGCTGACATTTGGGCCCTGCTTCGTCTGCTGGCTCTCAGGCTGGCAAATGTCCCTGCTATGACTATTATAATAATCAGAAATAAATGTGAGTAGTTGTAGTGGTGTAATGGAGGAGGTGATGGGAAGAATTAGTCCAGCACAGAGCCTGGATTGTGGAGAACTGAACAGTGGGAGAAAGAGACGGAGAGTGTCGGACTCTGAGGGAATCCCTCTAAACTGGAGAAATCACTCAGGCAGCTCCGGGGAAATGGCCGTAAAAGTTTAAAGAATCCTCGGCTAAACCAGAGTTAAAGCACAAGTTCTTTCTCCCTGCTGTAATGAGTTCAGAGATGGTGCTGTATTTCACAGTTGACATGAATCAGTGAGACTGGTGCAATGTTCCTGCAAGTTACTAATTGTTGTACCAGTATTGTCTGTATTTGCACGAACGTTTATGTTTTGTTATTGTAGCGTGAGCAAGTCGTTTGAAGAAAGTAGAGTCTTAAGTTTGAGTGTGTTTACAGTGTCTGTGTGTGTGAGCGATTAGGACTGAGGCCATCTGTGGAGTCCTGCAGGGAATCTGGAAATCAGGTCATTAAGTGGTCGTCCGTAGCGTGGGAGAGGGAAGAGAAGGCTCTTCGTTTTGTTTGACAGGGTACACACTCACTCCCTCACTCATTCACTTATCTGAGCTTTATTTAATCTTCACTGGGGTGCATCTACTTACAGTTTACTCCAGTGTTTTCTTGCTACTGTTGCAATTTCCCTTTATTTTCTGGCCCTTAGTCCCTAGAAGGAAAATGCAAACATGCATTTTCATATCCAGGAGAATGAGCTTCTTGTGTTTCTTCTTTTAAGTTGTAAGTGTTTTCCAAATTTAGGATGTTGAAAAGAGTAGTTGGTGATCCTCATGGGAGTGGTCAGGTGATTTGTATGAGCCTGAGAAAGTTCTTATTGTGTGTTGCATCATCGCAAGGCCTCCTTATCCAGCCCAGCTGTGATCAACTATTGTTTCCCAGTGATAAGATAAACAATGTATATTTCAATTTCGATATATTGCCATTACTTATATTGCTATTGCATTGATTTAGTCAGGTACATTGAAATGCATCCCACGCCCCGTCATCATGAATGTTTTCCTTGTGTTGGTCCTCAGGAAGCCTCTCCCTGGTCTGGAGCAGTGAGCTGGAGAGGGAACGTTGTGGCTGCGGTCTGCTGTTCAGTGTTGCTTAGCAAGCCATAGCTGGCACCATGGCGTTGTCATTCAAGAAGGACCTGGAGAAGTACAAGGACCTCGACGAAGATGAAATCCTCAACAAACTGTCGGCGGAGGAGCTCAAACAGCTGGAGACGGCACTGGAAGAGATGGACCCTGAGGTCAGGACTCAGTGAGGGTTGGAGGAGCTCCAGGGCTCTTTAGTGGGAGGGAGAAGGACATAAAAACAGTATTTCATCCACTCAAATACAATCTTTGCAGCTATAATTAATTTTCTCAAATACGGGACACAGCTACTATCTTAGACATGCTTCAGTTTTCACAAAAAAATATTTATTGTTCCACACAATCATAACTTAATTTCATGGGATATGTTGAACATCACACATTAAAATCCAAGGGTGGATTTGTCCTTTGCACCCTCCAACAACACCTTCCAGCCCAGCAGCCTCCATGGCTGGGAACACAGTTTAAAGGGGGAGTCTCTGTCAGCAGGCTGCCAAGTGTTTGTGTGTTTATTTGGGAGTAGAGCTCGGGAGAGTATAATGAAATCCCTCCCGGGTGCCTGGGCGTTTTATTTAAATTCCATCGAAACCGAGTGAGATAAATCACCCCACTCGGGGCCCACAGGAAACATTCATCTTTGGGTCTCATGTCATTAAATAGACAAAGTAGAATTTGGCACTGCATTTAGTTTAGACCAAACACAGGCTGGCTAGACAAGTTTTTCCGCCTTTTGTTCACGTCCCTCAAGTTTTGACTCACCTACAACAAATGGTCCACAGTTTGTTGCAGTTTTGTGGTGGGCGGAGGTGTTTGAAGCCGCGTGGTTCTGGTTCACATGCATCGAGTTCAACAAGTTCATAGTATGTTTACTTCCTGTTTTGAGGAACTCGTAATTCATGTCTATTTCCCACAAAACTCCTAAATCTGTCGTCGATGCCAACTACCACACTGACCTGTGGATGCGGAGGAAACTGGCATTTGGTACATTTACCTTCAAAGAGATACTGACATGGGTCCGGATTGGGCAGCATGCATTTATTGATGCATGACGCTGTTTTTAGAAATGTTCAAGTAATTGGATGAATGTATATTTAGTTCATCATATAGAAGGCATACAGGTGTTTTAACAGCTTAAAATAACCCCATCATTTCAGCATATACCCTTTATCCACGTCTATAGTGAGTGTATTGAAGTCGTCTAGGTCTAAAGTGTCTCCTCGTCTCCTCTCCTCAGAATGCTCTTCTCCCAGCGGGCTTACGTCAGAAGGACCAGACGGCTAAGGGAGCTACCGGGTCATTTAACAGGGATGGCCTTCTGAAGTACCTGGAGAAGGAAGCCATGGATTACAAGGACAGAGACGATATACTGTCCTTCACTGGGGAGAGAAAAGGTGTGTGTTTGAGTATTTACTGTTTTAAAACCTCCTCATGACTGAAAATTCAAACGGAGAAAGTCCAGTTAAAGTACTTTAAATTAACCTCAATCCCGATAGGTCAGGTACAAATCAATGGAGACAACGTTGAGTGTTTCCCCTCAGCAAGGGCGTGTCTTTACAGTGTAACGTAGTGCATCACGCCTACCTCTCATTAGGAGCATCATTAGTGCTGCGCTGTCGCCTGTTAGTGACGTGTTCCTCGTGGGATGAGCTGTCTGTTTGTGCCTGCATCAGCAGGATGAACACAGCGGTAATTACTGTTCTGCTATCTTAGCCTGGTGTTATTAATGCATGTCTGCTCTTATGCAACATACAGCAGTGTGGGGGAGGTGTGTTTGTACCAGGAGACTGGAGGCAGGGAGTGTCAAAGGAATGAGTCCCTCTGTTTATTGATTAGTCCAGTTCAGTTTGCAGACTAGACGTTAGTAAACCTCGACTTGTGCTCAGGCTCACGTTTTCCTCGGACAAAACTAAGCAAACCAGAGCCGAAGGCCTTATTTGAATGGCAGGGATGCGTGCAGAGGTGCATACTGTGAGTCCAGCTGTGCAACTTTGTCTCATGCCCGTAGCTATAGAAAAAATGTCCTAATGCCACATAACTAACCTTTTCTATAACAGCAGTTGTATGTGATACTCACAGTTATATAGTCAGGCTTTCTTTTAGCAATTGAAGTTGTAAAAATAACCAAGGCCTTGGATGTGGGATGCTTCACCATTACAACAGTCTGCGATATCTGCCAGTAGTCTACCTAGAGGAGAATGAAAGTCTTTTGTCACAACTCAGTAGATGTCATGTGGCAGGACTCACAGAAAGGTGAAATAATCACCCACTGCTCATCCGGATGGGGTCGCTGTCAACGAAATAACCCGATCATCTCGAGAGAAACCAGTTGTCCTCAAACAAGTTGTAAGACATACTTGTGGTAACCTTAGTCACTTTCTAGAAGAGAGACAAAGGAAGCTGCTTTAAGTGACAGCGTGACACACAAACAAAGTGAGAAATAGAAACATTACTTGGTTTAAACTATTGTCCAGAGGAATTTCTTTTGTTGGATCTCAAGAGATCTGAAAGTTACTCCCTCACTGGAGAGGAAACATGGAGCTGACATCTTCCCCCTGGCCTGTTAGGAATTATAGTGTGTGTGTGTGTGTGTGTGTGTGTGTGTGTGTGTGTGTGTGTGTGTGTGTGTGTGTGTGTGTGTGTGTGTGTGTGCACATGCATGAGTGTGTGCACGCCCTATGACAACATGGAAAACTCAAATCATTGTGGTGGTTTTGTGGAATGTAGCTGATTCTCTTCCCCTTGTTAAACTCAACCCCCTGCTGATAAATAGTGTGTGTGTGTGTGTGTTTTCAATAACACATTTCAGAGGAAACCGGCCTGCTTGAATGCCATGGCAACCATTGCAGCCTTTTAACCACTTGAAAGTTATTATATTGGGTCAGTTTCTCTTATTGTATTCTATAATCCATTGTTCAATCCTTAATGTCCTTAGAGGTTTGGGAACATTATTCACATTAGGAGGTTCTGGCTGGATGCCGGTTGAAGGAAGACATACAAATTGTGTTTTAACTGGCACAGTTGACTTTACTCGTCATGTGTAATAATTCTTACTTGTTATACTAGTTGGAGCATTTACAGCATGCTTCTGTTCAAGTCTGATGAACCTTGTGTCTGTTGAGGTTGTTGTTGTTGGCATTCGTAGCCGTGTGTAACAGAACGGGTACAGCAAAGGCAATCAATCAGTTACTGCAGATTTACTGCTCAAGTGTTATAATAGTTCAAATTTTAAGGATTACTCCGGTTGATTACATCATATTTTTGACATTTTTAACTAATTTCTAAATGCGGTCAACAAAGCCACAGGTTAGCAAAACTTATTTGGAAGATAAAACGAAACCGTTAACTGTAAACACCAATGAGAGTTTAGAGACCAGCGTCTGGGTTCAGCTGACCCATCTCACTTGCTGTAGTTGTATGTAAACAGCTTTTTTGTGCAATGAGGGATGCTTACCTCTCATTTTGTGCTGTTATCTTTTGTAAACAAAAAAACTTCACAGTACTGCTTTTGCATTCATAGCAGTACTGTGGTGACTCTTCAGCCAAATGGCAGCCATGATATATACGCTTAAGGCATTGCTTGTATGAATGAGTAAATCTCCCTTGACTGTAAAGAATCTCTGTACTCCAGTTACAGGCAGACACTGTTATCAACATGCCTATAACCGTAATAGTACAACATGAGCCCCAATGTGCTCCCCTCATTCAGTTCATGATATACGCTCTTAAGGAATCCTACAGATGAAGACTTTGGGGCCGTCGGTCTTTTGGCTCTGTATGTTTTTTGGGCCTCTGACGGGCTAAATGTCGTTCCGGAGGGACTGGCACAGGATGCTGTCTGATGACTGTATTTTACTGTTTACTGGCTTTCAGGAAGTGCCAGAGCCCCCCCCACTCTGGACCCGTTTGAACAATTTGACTGGCTTAAAAGGAGGGAGGGAGGGAGGGGGGGGGGTTCTCGGGGTGTTTTTGTTTAAGGAGACAGACGCATAGAAGCGACTGGCACCCACTGGACTGGTCTTTCCGTCAAGTGCAAGTGTTTAGATTAGACTCCACTCATTGTTCCATAACTTCCTTCATTCTTTCCGTCTCTTCCCTCTGTTACTATGGCAATACCAAAGTTGTCAGGCTGTCATGGCTGCTCTGAAATGCTGATGTTTGGGGAATGCTGTGTAAAATAACAGGAGGCCTGGACTTGTTGCGACTTGACTTACACACATGCATGTGTACACACACACACACAGAGTTGCTTTACCTGGGACTGTTTCCATTTACAAGTCACAATAACAGACTAGTAACAGTTGGACGTTTTTATAGAAATTGGAGGTTGTGTAACGTCTCATAAATCCTTCACCCATGCACCCGTTTCTTCTGTCTGTGTTCAAGTAATTTATTGCCTGCCCTATTTTTATGGAGGCTGAATGATCTTCTTTGAGTAAAGAAATTCTCCATTCCTTCTCTCTCCGTAGGTAAAGCATTTATTCCGAAGCAGAGACCGATAGAAACACGCCAGGAAGAAGTCACAACCCTCGATCCAGAACTAGAGGAGGCCCTATCCAGCGCCACAGATACGGAGCTGTGTGATCTAGCAGGTAAGATTGAATAAACACCTTTTGAGAAAGCTAAGAAGTCGTTGTTTAAAGGCTTAAAAGGAAGATGTTGCAGTAGAAACAGAACAGTCTGCTGCGACAGTTAAACACAAGCTCCTTTCATGAACGGGCTTACTGAGCAAAACAACCGGTCTGCTATGGCGTCTAGATTTGGTTACCTCTCATTCACTGATCCCTGAAGAACGCATGCGTTCACACTGACTCCTCACCACAGCTGCTGATGGTCTGCTTTTGTTTTGCAGCGATCCTAGGTGTTCACACGCTGGTCACCAGTAGCCAGACATACGATGCTTCTAAAGACGGTTACAACAGTAAGTACAATCGGAGAAGTTGACCATAGAAATAGAAAATTTAACTGTTTTCTGTGGTCATTTGACTAGTACAAAAAAATGACAATTGTTGTTTATTGTCATGGTGGTAACATACGTCAGTGGGGCCGTAAAGTGTCGCAGCTCGCCGAAAAAAAGAGACCCAGCTCCGGAGAAGGACTGTTGGACACAAAGCTGCTGTTGGCCACCAGCCAACTGTTCTGATCAATTTCTGTTACCGTTGCAGCATTTAAGCATGGTGGACAAAGCTACCTGGCTAACTAACTAGCAGACAGCTGACTAGTTAGCTAGCTTGCTTCCACCATGCTTTAATGCTACACTAGCTACAGAACATAGCAAAGTGCTATTCTTGCGCTCTGACAAAAGCATATGGATGAAGCATTAACTTACGATTTTAAATTGTATTAATTTGCTCTCTATGCTTCTTAAAGTTACTACTCCACTGCTCGTTTTAGTCGTTACTGCTAATCTTCTCCTCAGCGAGTCAGCAACCTGCCTTAAGGCGGTTTAGTTGATGTGACTGGATACAGCTTTGGAGGCGGCTCCCTGTTCATTCCTATGAAAGTAGCTCTGTGGTGCCCGAAGCAAAAGAAAATTTGACTTTAATTACCCAGATGCTCGAGCGTTTCCTTGAACCCCGCCTCCCTGCACTTGGTCCAGCCTCGTTCTCGTGCTCATTGACATGAGCGGAGGAAGGAAAATAACTCTGGGTCTGGATCAGTATCTCTACCTCTGCCTGTGTGTCTCTTCCAGATGTGGTCAAAGGGGAGAAGATGAACCCAGTGTTTGATGAGCCTCCCAATCCCACCAATGTAGAAGAAACTCTGCAGCGGATAAAAAGCAATGACGGCTCCCTAACAGAGGTCAACCTCAACAACATCAAGGTACACAGAAACACAAGCTTTTCAGAGCCTCAGGGTGTGCATATGCTCGTCTATTCCTGGACTGATGACGGCGTGTCTTTTGGTGGTTTTCCAGAACGTTCCAATTCCCACGCTGAAGGACTTCGCTAAAGCCATGGAGAAGAACACGCACGTCAAGAAGTTCAGCCTGGCAGCAACACGGAGTAACGACCCGATTGCTGTGGTGAGAGGGAGTGGCTTGTGGGCTTTTATTTGGCTTTGTTGACACCTGACAACTCCGTATTTACGTCCTTGCTTTATTTCCTCCTCTCAGGTGTTCAGTGAAATGCTACGAGAGAACAAGACGTTGCAAAGTTTGAACTTGGAGTCCAACTTCATCACCGGGACAGGGGTGCAGGCTTTGGTTGATGCGTTGCGAGACAATGACACCCTCACAGAGATCAAGATAGACAACCAGGTACCAGCTGCTCTTATACAGATATTCATAAAGTTCACTAAATCCCCGTGGAATTAAAGATTATGATGATAAAGTATCTTTTGTATTATTATTATTATTATTATTTTTCATCCAGGGTCAGTGTAGAACTTGTGACTAAAGAAGTCTTTGCACTCTTTTGAAAAAAATGGAGGCTAAAGTAGTAGAAAATGTTATTGTTGTGCATTTGGAGAAAATGCCAACCGACACGAACCTCTGCCTGAATAAAACACGGGTTGAGTGTTTCCAGTAGTGGGAAAGACGTTAAACCATTTCCCTGTGGTACAACTCTTGGTACTGACTTACTGTTATAGTCTTTAAACCAAAGTGAAGTTCTGATAAGTGTGTGTGTGTGTGTGTGTTTGTTTCAGAGGCAGCAGCTGGGTACTACCGTAGAGATGGAGATTGCTAAAATGTTGGAAGACAACAACAGCATAGTGAAGTTTGGCTACCACTTCACCCAGCAAGGACCTCGCTCCAGAGCTGGCGCAGCTATCACCAAGAACAACGACCTGGGTATGACACACACAGACAGACAGACAGACACACACACACACACACACACACACTCATTTGAGATTTGTTCAAACTTGCAAAAACTGGGTGACTCGTTGCCCATTACGTTATCTTCTCCCCGGTATATCTCTCTCTCTCTTTGGAAGAATGAGTCATAACAATTCCAACATGTCTGCCTTTCATCTGTCTCTACAATGTTGTTGTTTTTTCCACGTCCGTCCACAGTGACGACCCTCTGCTCTCTTTTAGTTCCCCGTCCTGTCAGAGTCGAGGTAGCACAGGTCTGGTGCATGGGTGTGACTCTTAAGTGTGCCAGTGCATCGAAGTGTTTGAATGAATTAACAGTACGGACATTGACACGGTGTGATCACGCAGCTTTGAGAGTGACGACATCTCACTTCCTGTTTTTCTGCACACGCTGACACACTGACACAAATGGGTCTAAAACTGTGACCGCTGAGCTCGTGAGGAGTCACTTGGTGTTTCCCCGATAAACTAACAGGCCTGTGTAGGCTGTGTAGCATGTTTGCAGTTGTTCGTTCGTACGTTCTTTACTCTGTCAATCAACTGATTTTGTGAAAAAAGACAAATCATGCATTTTGCCATTTTTGCATTGTACTTTTCCTCTTCAGTCCGCAAAAGGCGAGTGGAAGCGGACCTGTAGGGACGGAGCCCCACCTGCCTCCCACCCAATCCTCTTGTTTCATCTCACCATGTGGAATACTCTCCAGCGATGCCCTGGTCTCATCTCACTGTGTGGAAACTTAAGTCTTGTGCCAAACTGTGGGGCAAGGCGCGCTCAACCCGGAACATGCATCTGAGAAGAAGGGAAATAACTGGAATTGCCCTCCCCCATTTACATGTTCATACTTATGTTTATTATTATATTGTTATTGAAGGTGTAAATTGGATTAGCTTTTAGTCATCTTGTTTTTTTGAGCCTTTATGTGATCTGTCCAGACTTTTCACTTTTCTTTTCTACTACGCTATAATCATGTGGAATAAACATGCACATTACCAAGTAACAGACACAACAATAACAGCTCAGTGTAAACAATAACTAACATTGAGGGAGCCCTGTATACAGTGGTAGTTTGAGGCCTAAGCTCCCAGAGGAACACCTGTATCACGAACTAGCAGAATTTGACATCAGATCGTTAGAGACGGCTCTGAAGTCGATGTTGACGTCGGCATCGGGAAGTGACGGGAAGCAAAGTCAGACCGGTCTGTTAGAACCACAGCTTACTGGCAGAATGCTGACGGTCATCAGGAAACATGAGGCGCCATGTGATCAGATCACCATTTACTGGGGTGGCCTTGTAAAGCTGGCTTGACTTGTGTGTGTTTTAACGGTTAAGTTTGTGTTTGCCTCAAGTCAGATGCTGGCTCACCCTCTTATGTGAAACGAATACTGTACGCAGCAGTGCATAGTGTTTTATATATCTAAACCCGTTTAATCTAATCTAACATCTTGTTTTCATACGGTTCAAATTCTGATGGTGGTTATTCTTATCACTTTTTTTCCCTTAACAGGAAGTTATAACTGGGTCTGGATATTTTGGGGCAAGTAAATTTGGGATTGTACTTTAAAAGTAAGAGGATATTAACGTCTGCTCAACACACAGGGTTCCTCTGATGCTTCACCATGCCAAAGACTAACACAAGCAGTGCTTAGAGTGTCGATATGTAACGGAATGGTGAGCGGTTCGGGTTTTTGGCTTTGTCAGCTTCAGTCATTTCCTCGCAGTATACAAAGCAGCAACGATCAAGAATCTTTTTAGATCACATCATGCCATTACACTTTGTGTTATTTGCCATTTATAGCACAATGATCAGCAAGCAGTTCACTGAGATCGGCAAACACTTTCTCTGTTTTACCTCCCAGGTTTGCGACTACTTTGTGAAATGTTTTTATGAACTGCATCTCCCGGATAGAAAGTCTTCTTAAATTTCACCTCTCACACCCTTGGTCACACTGTCGCTCAGCAGCATCTCAGCAGTAGCATGTCATTCATTATGTAACAGATAACAACATGCTCTGCGTGCCTCACACTGAACTTCCTGAGGTACACTGACCTGCTTGAGATGGGTTTAACAGGACTAATTCAGGATTACTTGAAACTTGTATGTGGAGTTTTATGTGTAATAGGAACAATATGCTGGTATCAATGTCACTCGTGAACATCGTGTTTCTATTGACCAAAAATAGTTCTTTCATCCAAACGGCCTCGCATTCCTCGGACAAGAATTGTACGGCTGAGTTCAGCACGTTGGGTTTTTATATCTGTGTACTTCGTCCGCGGTCATGTCTGCTCGTATTTCTTCTTGGACCTTTTTGTTTTCACATTCCTGTGCTTTGCCGGTGGACAGTCAGCTAAAGTGGAAAACTGCGTCTTTGCCTGGGCGTGATACGAATATTCTGTGATTCATAATGTGTGTTTTAATTGTAAAATGCCATCTCAAAATACAAAGTGAGCACACACTTAAGTTTCTACAAAACTGCGATGTTTTTTTGTTTTTTACTTTAACTCAAAACCCAGGTTTAGACTTAAAATAAGGAATATGTACTATTATAAAACCACAAGACTGGTGAAACGCACTGCTGAATATACGATATCCTCAATAAATGTTTTTACATACTCTATCTGCCCTTTTGTGCATTTCTTTAATGTATTTGTGTTAACACGGCATATATTATCATCCTGTTTAAATTTTCATGAATATCTTATAATCTACAATAAATAAAGCTAAATTTTAAAAAAACTCTGCAAAAGGTCCACTTTTGGAAAATGTCCGTAGATTTCAACTTGTGAGTTTCATCAGCAGATGGAGTTTCCTCAGTTGACTGTTGACTCCATTCGCTGATCAAAGCTTTAAAATGTTTGTTAAAGATCCACAAGTAGTTCAAGGAAGTGAACCTTGAGTTTTATGTCGAACTGCTCTTTCTCTCCAACAATGGAACTTCAAGCGCCACTATTTTGTAGATCTCTTGTGTATTTAGATAGAAAGGTTTTCAAATCAGCAGTAAACGCAGTAGAGCCGAGGCTCACGGGAATGCCATTAGTTTAGCAGGTCGTCTGACCAACAGACGCTAGCTTGAGTGAAATGTGTGTGTGTGTGTGTGTGTGTGTGTGCGCGCGAGTGAGTGACCGCTGAAGATCTAAAGCTGGTTGTGGCCAAATCTCAAGTTCAAATACACGATGTGTTTGGTTTGGGAGGTACTCGAGGTGGTGTACGTATGCACCCTTTAATCGGATCCAGTTTTTCAGATTGTTTGCACATGCTGGAGAGATGATGTCATGTGCATGACTCCATCCCTCTCTGGGTTTCCTGTGCGGTTGAGCTGCTGTCAGAGAGAAACTCGGCACTGCTGGCAGTGGACTGTGGCTGCAGTGAATGACTCCAGTGTTTCCACTCTGTGAGAACAGAGAAGGACGAGGAGCAGCAGGTTTCAGTCGTGTCTGTTAATCGCACCAGAAGGAACAAAAAAAAAAAGAAAACAGAATCTCACAGTGAAATATACAGTTGTGTGCTTATGTAAGTACAGTACAACTGTTCCCTCAGACCATGACTATTAATAGGCACTGCTCCTCCGCATTTGGAAAAAGAATAGACTATAACCAACAGCTTCTAGTCCATGTCTTTATTGGAGGTTGATGTCCAGAGAGCACTGCCATAAATAGGATGCCATGTTTAGTTTGACGTAAAAGAGAAGCCTTATTAATGGGTCTTAATGGTCACTGCTTATCCTCAAACAACAAGGAACCAGCTCATAATGACTTAAAATGTCAAGTATCAGTAACTGAGTATGAAGTGGATGATATTCTCCTTGGCATGGGCAGTCGGATGAGATGTGATATTATCGCAGCTGCTGGTCAGATTAGGTGTAGCTCAGGCAATGATACTGACGAGGCTTAAACATCACTGGACTGGACGGACTCCAACTCCAGAGACTCCAGTTGCCCCCACATGTACTGGGAAAAAACAGACACTAGACACGCTGTACAGTTCCAGATATCAACTTGTGTCTTTGTGTCCAAAACTGTTTGTGCTGACATATTCATGTGAGAACACTTTAAATCAGTGTCTCTTTTGTCCCCCACCAAGCGCTGCCCCCTTCTGCCCTCCCCCTCCCTCTCTTCCTCTGCCAGCTTTCACACACAGGGGCTCTGTTCTTGAACAGGTATGTTCACCTGTTGATTTCCCATCAGAATGATTTGCTCTGTGGTGAGTCAGCCCTGAACAAAGCTCTCAGCAGTCCCTCTCTATCATGACCTCGTGCTCTTGGTAAACAAAGGCTCACAGATTACAAGGGAGAGGAGAGAACGGGAAGGGCACACGTATTGTACTGTATTCACAAACGGCATTGAATAAACTACTATGCCACTGGTAATATGTTTATTTAAGAGGAAAGCAAACTGAATTCACCAACTCATTTTAGGTTAGACAGAAATAAAAAATCAGCAGCTTCTATCTGATTTCATTGCTGAAGCCCCTCAAGGTGAGAGCTGAGATGTTATCAGGTGTTATCAGCAGTGATGGTGCCCTGACTGAAAACAAGAAGAAGTAGGTAACATCTGTGAGCGTGTGTTTGATCTAAGCCTGAACCTATGCAGCTGTTTGGCTAAATAAGTCGAATTATTAGAAAATGCAGACAGATCTCTGTTTGTATAAGAAGTGATGGTGGATTTGAAGACGTCTAATGAGCCATTCATAGCCCCAATGAATAAAAACAGATTACAAAGCAGCCGAAGCGACGCCCTAGTATTAGATTTCCTTCCTTTTGTGTTAAAAGTAGTAAGTTATCTCAGCCTCATGATGTCAAACCCATTCTGCCAAGTGAAACTTCCGGTGCAATCCCTGTAAACAGTGGGAAAATAATACTCAGCAGCGCTATAACACAACGGCTGGCTCTGGAAATCTTCTCTGTGGTCTTGTCTGTGATGGAAAGTTTACAATTTAAAGAACTACGGCGGCATCACAATAAGATTATAATATTCCTATTGTGAACCATAATCTAGCATCACACTGCTACTACTGATGATACACTCATCAGTCACGTGCCAATACATAGTTGATTACAAGCATAGAGCAATGCAACAAATGACTGAAATTGTTTCTCAAATGAGATGTGAGATGTACTACTTCATAATGTACTTTATAATACTTTACAAATGGCATATGAATTACATGCTACTCTCCAATAGCCTCATAAGCCGAGTTGCTGCATGGATTTTTGGCAGCTTTATTACTTTGTATAAAAAGGAATTAGAAAGAACTTAACCTCTTTAGGGGGCATATGTTTTAGTTGTTTTTTTTTTGTAATACTGCATACAACAAAAATATATGTAAATGGTAAAAATGTGGTTAAAATGAAAGTTTGAGTATTTTATGCATGGTTGTTGTATAATAACCTACATCCATGATTTAATGTTGAGACAACCAGAGCTCTGACTTTACCGTGGTGTGTACCGCCCCCTTGTGGCCGCCCACGCTCACTACATCAACATGTCCGCCTCGTCTTGAACTCGGAAACGAAACCTTTCCGTAAAGCCCCGGCGATCATTTCCTGCGGGTCACAGTTTTACTACAGTCTGGAAGAAATGGCGGACATGGATGAATTGTTCGGGAGCGATGGGGACAGCGACAATGACCAGCGAGGTAACGAAGTCTCTCAACCGTTGACCGTCTTAGTCGTGGATGAAGTTAGCATAGTAGCGGTAGCGAGGGTTTTTCAGATGCTAAGCAGAAGCTAGCATTGCCGCAATAATGATTAGAAAACCCGGTCCCTGAACGTTACACTGATATATCTTATGAGTTGTGCATTAACTGAATATTTTCTAAAAGCTCGCTTTGGTAGAAACTGGTGTAAGATTATCCGTTCAACGCTCGTTATTTTGTGGTTTTTGTTTGTTTTTCCTCAGCTAGCGTTAACAAGCTAGCTGTGCTTTATTAGTTAGCATAGTTAGCGGAGCTGGAAGTCGCTCCACCTAACGAAGACTGTAACATCATTAACGGCGAAGTGTTCCTCGAGCACATGTTCTCGTTATTATGTGTAGCGTTCACGGTATTGCTCAGCACAACTCGTAGCTTTGTCCATTTCATCAGTAAACTGGCAGTTTAAAATGAATACATCGGTCAAATATCGTTATCGTTAGCTGAAGTAGAGAGTACGCTACACTGAAATTCACCGGGCCTTAACAGTAACGTCAATTAACCTTACATATTATAATAACCTTAAGTTTATCACTTTAAATAAGTCACATTTCTCTGCTGCCAAATAAAATAATTAATAAAATCTCATACCATGTCAACACCAGTTCAGTAAAAATGTTTATTTGAAAGTCTAATAATATGCTTCTAACAGTATGTAACTTATTCACAGTATGAAGTGTGGTGGGCGACATTGAAACAATGCTTTATCACAGTATATTTAATGTTTAATGATGTACACTCGGTTGTTACTTAACTGTACAATTTGCACTACAACAGCTCAGCATTAAAGTCTGTCAGATACGTATTCATTTAACTGTGTGTTCACTAATGAGGTTGTACTTTGCAGTGGTGTCAACATAATGCACAAATACAATCTGAGCCACCTCCACCAACTCTCTGGCCATTTAGACCCTGATTAATGTAACGTTATGCCCACATAACGTTATGTTGTTGTTGCATTACAGGAGTGAAATCTGCCTATAGTCTACTGAGCTGTCCATGTAGAGTGTGACATGCAGACTAGCACCCGCTGTAAACTGATGAGCTGTGCTATGTGCCAGAATAAAAATGGTCTGCTCTGTTGTTTCAGAGTCTGGTTCCGGCTCCGGTTCAGACTCTGAGCCGGAGAGACCCCGATCTGCCAGCAACGCCTCGGGGAGCGGCAGCGACAGTGAGAGGGAACGGAATGATGAAGATGAAGAGGAAGGCCAGGAGGCGGGGAAACCCAGTATCAATAAGGTGTGTGACTGATGACACTCTTTTTATCAAGAAATCTTCTTGTGGTAGATCGCCAAAGTAACTTGTACTGCACACCTAAGCTGCACCGCAGCAGGTGATCACCTCATATCAAAGCACCGCCTACTGACCAATCAAAGCTCGGTACGTGGATCGTTAGATAAAATTACATAAATACGAAGAAGTCAAAGTCATTATCCAGACTAAAAGCAACATAGTTTAAACTGCCAAATGCAGAAAGGTCAGCTGGCAATAAACTGCGACTGATAATGCAGACATTAACAGATGTATAATGTCACTTCCCTATCTAGAGCACGATAGAATGAATGTGTTGCAGATGTATTCTGATGGCGTGTGTGACAATATTTGAGCCTCATTCCTTCAGCTGCAACCCTGGCGGTGTGAAATGGACTTGGGACAAAATATAAATAGGCTGTAATAATTCAGAGCGTTAATACTTTCATATCTTATAAGCTTTACCCAATAGTTGTAAACTTTATTTGATAAAGATCCGGCTACACTAATTAGTTATATTAGTGTTATACTATTTGTAGAATTAGATTACAGTGGTGGCTGCGTACAGGATTGTTACCGACTCGTGCTTTTCCAATAACTCCAGAACCTGTTAAAGTCCAAAAGTCAATATTAATTGAAAAAAGAGTGAATTAATCATTTTCAAAGTTCACTAACACAATGGTGTTTAGCCTTTCTCACTGCTTTGAATTTTTTATATTCATGCTATTTTTATTATGTGTTCATGAGAATTGTGAATTAGCCTAATTAACGCCACAATAATACCTTATAAGGCTACGTGTCCAGCTCCATATGACCGATATTGAAGTCCTGCGTTTGGAGACCGATAATGGAAAGTCTATGATTTTTACCAGCGTCAGCATTCAAATAATCCAAAGAACGGGAAAAAATAACGAGTGCAGTTAATGCCGTGTCACCTGAGGGTAGTACTGTCCCTGAACTAAAGATTGTGGGAAGAGAAAATTCAAAATACGTGAAAGTTCTCCTAAATCACTCGTACAAACAACTTTAATAACGAAACCGTTCGTACGAGTGGTTCTGGCATGAGGCCCATTGGTTCCGCCTCTCTCACAAACTTGCTCTCCTTTCCTTCTACCCAACAGGAGCTGTTTGGAGACGACAGCGAGGACGAGCAACGCAGTCAACACAGTGGCAGCGACAACCAGTCGGAAAGGTCGGGGAACCAGTCGGACGCCAGCATGCACTCGGAGCAGCGGGACAACGATCCCTCCGATGCAGAGCAGCACAGCGGCTCAGAGCGCGGCCATCGGGACGAGGATGAGGACGAAGATGACGCGGGCCGCCGGTCGGATGCAGGAAGCCCGGCTGGCAGCGGGATGTCTGGAGAAGGGAGCCCTCGCTCTGAGAGGGGCAGTGTCCGGTCGGACAGAAGGTACGCCAACACACTCTGGACGTCCCTCATTGTTAAACTGAGGTGCCTCGATGGGAGAGCGGACCCCAACAAATACACAATTTTCCCCAGTTTCGTAGAACTACAGGGCCCAGCTGACATTTCTGAGATATAAAACAAATGTTCTAACCTGTAATGTTCTAATGGGGCACTTTCCTTTGTTGACCACATTTTAATTTCTTGATATATTTCTTGCAATGCGTTTGTTTGAATCCAGCGTGCACAGCGATCCTGCGACTCCGCAGTCGGGGCCGGGCAGCCCTCAATCCGATGCAGAAGCCTCTGGCAAGGAGAACCAGTCGGAGGACGAGAAGTGGGAAGGAGGGGCTAAGAGCGACCAGTCGGAGGATGAGGGGGAGAAATGCCATTACTCTGATGAAGAAAGAGAGAACTCTGACGACGAGGGGCCGAGGAACAGGAAGTCAGGTACTCCTCGTGTCTGGTGTAAAAGATGGAGGGGAGTGTTGTCCGTGAACTGGATCAGGAGCCGGCCGGCCGTGATAATCCTGACACATTGGATTTTGTGGAAGATGATTAGGGCCATATGTGAAAATGTTATCCTGAGGTCCGAGGTTAATCTCAGCACTCTTTAGATGAATAGGAGATTCGTTTTTTGCCATCACTTTTCTGATGCTTTTTCATTTAAGTAAGACGTTTACACCATACTGTCACGTGGAAATTCCTCCTCTTCATCCCCTTGTTGTGATTTTGTTTTTCAGAGTCCGCAAAGGGCAGTGACAGTGAAGATGATTTCCTCAGACAGAAAACCAAAGCGAAAGCCGCATACGATTCAGATTCAGACAGCGATGTCGGAACAAAGAAAGGTAAGAATCTGTTTGAGCAAACCTGACCACGTCACTTCACCGTATTCTCTACAATTCAAACAGAGAGTGTTCATTTTATTAGCTGCAGCAGACGTTGTCATTTTAACCGCTCTCGTGTACTTTAAAGTAGTCCTCCTTCCGTACTGTTCACAGTAAAGAAGACGGCAGCAGACGACCTGTTTGGAGAGGCCGACGACATCTCTTCAGACAGCGATGCAGAGAAGCCCCCGACCCCGGGACAGCCCCTGGTATGTGTCTGTCTCTTGCTTCCGCTGATCCTCAAGCCTCTTTAATTGTGCCCAATCCTTCTTTCTTTTTTTTTATCATAAGAGTTCCCAAATCTCTTTTTCTCAGAGCCTCTCGCTAAGCCTCTCTGAGCTGTTCCCTATTATCCTGGGTCACTGAATCATACAGTGCTTTTTGAACGATTATCTTCTTCTCCCTCTCTGTTGTGTGTGTGTGTGTTTGTGTGTGTCTGTGTGTGTTTTCAGGATGCAGAGGACGGGATGGAGGGGGAGCGTGCGGAAGAGGAGCACGCGCCCGAAACCCATATCGAAGTAGAGATCCCAAAAGTCAGCACAGACTTGGGATCTGACCTTTATTTTGTCAAGCTGCCCAACTTCTTGTCTGTGGAGCCCAGGTCAGAACCATTGTCAATGTATACAACACAAGCACATCTCGTACTTGATGAGCTCTAAAGATAAAGAAGGAAAACGGATGCAGAGAGGAATATTTTCAGTGTTCAGCTAACTCTGTTAGGACTTGATGAGCATAAAATCTCTTTCGTAACTTTAGGGTATACTCATTTAGATTTTCTTCTTCCTTTTCTAGACCCTTTGATCCTCAGTACTATGAGGATGAATTTGAGGATGAAGAGATGCTGGATGAAGAGGGACGGACCAGGCTCAAGCTGAAGGTGTGTAGTCCACGTCATGTGTGTATGCGTGTTTGTTGTTGTCTGTGTGGACCAGAGTATCAAGAGAGTGACCAGAGTTTCCTCTTCGTCTCTCACAGGTTGAGAATACCATTCGTTGGCGAGCCAAGAAAGACGAGGAGGGGAATGAGGCGCGGGAGAGCAACGCGCGCATTGTCAAATGGTCCGATGGCAGGTGTGTATTATGTCGATTAGGGTGTGTGGGGGGTTACCGCACTGTGTACAGGACGTGCGCTTTACTCTCTGTGGTTTTAAATGTATTTTTCCTGGCACACAGCATGTCCCTCCACCTGGGGAATGAAGTGTTTGATGTTTACAAAGCCCCTCTCCAGGGAGACCACAACCACCTGTTCATCCGACAGGGCACTGGACTGCAGGGACAGGCCGTGTTCAAAACCAAACTCACATTCAGGTAACACAGTGACGTGCCATTGTTGTTATTAGGGACAGACTGCTGCTGATTCCAAACGGCAACAATAGCAGCCTTGTTTCATTCAGATATGTACTCTATGCTGTAAGTCCCGGATCACCTCGTGCAAGCTGCCCAGGTTTCTCCCAATAAGAAGTGTGTAAGCCTCTTAGCGGCCCCCAAGTCCACCTGGATGTTCTGTCTCCTCAGACCACATGGGACAAGTAGGACACTGGCCAAAGCTGCTTTCATGCACAACAGCCTTCCACGCTGCCAGGCAGGACATTACCATTTGTTCTGGTTGTGTAATATCATCAAAGCACAGATTTGATTTTGATTAGAGCTGAAGCTGCTCAGGGTACAAATTGTTAGGACGCAGCGTTTTTTCTTTTCAAGAGGCAAATGAATAGAACAGAAACATTCAAGCAGGATTGATACACAGTGTATACAGCAAAGTTAATTAATGAGGCTCAGTGTGCCAATGATCCGCATCACTGCAACATGTTCATGCTTTCTATTGGCTTCCAGTGGTCTCGGAGCATGAGTTAGTTGTAGGTTAAGCTAAAAAACAATTAGCAAACATGTTGCAAAAATATCTCTAATGTGAAAAAGGAGCTGATAATTTAGGGTTTTAGTTCTTTCTTGTTGAGTAAAATTGAGCAGTTTTATTGGAAAGGACTAAGCTGAGGCAGCATTAAATGTCAGTGTCTATGCAGGCAGAAAATAATGCTGATTCCACTGAAACCTGTGATACCGAGATATTAAATGGGCAATGACATGAATCAAACAAACACTTAGGTTTGCGTTTCAGTATTTCTCAGCACAACGTTTTGTGTGCATCATCGAGCAAACAAATGTGTTGAATGAATTTCCTTCCTCATAAAACATTTGAAAAGCATTTTATTTATTTTTTGATGAACCTATATTGGTTACATCCATGTTTTCTTGCTAGCAGTCTTCTTGTTTGTTACCTTTTCTGGCTCGTAGCAGTTGGCGCATTAACTGCCACCAACTTTCAATCAGTGCAAGATCAGAACACATTTGCAGGAATATGCATCGCCCGTAGTTATTTTATGTGCACAAGATAGAAGGCCCACTTGTAAAAAGCATTGCTCCATAGCGCCACCAGTGCTCATAAACCCCCCATGGTGCGTTTAATGAGTGTGGACTAAAACAGGTCTGGCAGCATACGTTGGTGTTTTTTGCCAGTTTGCGTTTCAAAGGTAGCGTTTTTTTGGTTGAATAAGCTTTTCCTGAAAATTACACACGCACATCTTTTTTATAAATATCAAAGACAGGGTTGACAATGCCCTAATGTTTTTGAAAAGCACTGGGAAATACACACCGTAAACCGGAAATTATGTTTCCTCTGCATTTCCAGGCCCCACTCCACAGACAGCGCCACCCACAGGAAGATGACCCTGTCTCTGGCTGACCGCTGCTCCAAGACGCAGAAGATCAGAATCCTTCCCATGGCGGGACGGGATCCTGAGTCGCATCGCAATGAAATGATCAAGGTAGCACGCTCTCCGTCCACCTGTGCCGCTCTGCTCGTCTTTCCTCATTCCTGTTTGAGAATGATGTTGTTGCCTCAGGGACGGAGGCATGAGGCCAGTTGTCGGCGAGCATTATGCACATTTACATAAGATAAGATAATCCTTCATTAGTCCCACAGCGGGGATATTTGCAGGATTATGAAGACATAACCTGAGGTGCTTGCATAATGGGGTTACTCTGTGGTCACTGAAATGGAAATAGTGTCAGCAAATCTGCAGAGCGGCAGCTGCTAGCTAGCCGGTGGGGCTACGCTCGCATGCACCAACATGAAAGCATGCGCAGAAACTGAACCGCTTGATCCATACTGACATTTTACATATATTCAGAATATATTATGAATGATGGTGCCAATAGTATATGGTTAACGTAGGTTCAAATTTAAGTGAAAAATACCTGAAACGTATATTTCAACTGTGGCTGAAAACCTCATCATATATCAATATCATAATACCTTTATCATATACAATCTGTTTAGCTATGTGATAATTAATACAAATATTGCAGCCTAAATTGAAGCGGTGAGCTTGACAAAGCCAAACCTGTTAATTTGTTAAGATATATCCTACCTCTCCAAATATAGTGTTCATTATG